TTCACTAAAAGCTTGGCGGTTTGAGTCCATCCAGTATCTCTGCAGAAGAAAGACCTGGTGATCTGCTTCCATAAGGGTTACAGCAAAGGAAACCTGATGGGGTCGTTCTACTCCATCACATGGGATCACTGTGAGTGAGAATCAACTCCATCACACCCAACAACAACTGAGTTGGACATCCTGGGAGACCCATTTTGCTTGATATCTTCTTCCATTTATTCGGAGCCTCAAGTCGCTACTAATGAGCACCGCTCCTGTCAAGTCAGCTTTTCCATACAGCTCTCCACTTCAGGAAGGAGCTCTGGTAGCATAGTGGTTACAAATAGGGCTGCGAACCTCAGGGTCAGCAGTTCGAAACTACCAGTTGTTCTGTGGGAGAAAGATGAGGCTTTCTGCTCCCGTAAAGATTTACAGCCTCGGAAACCCTATACAGGGTCACTATGAGTCAGAACCGACTCCATGGCACATAACAACAACAACTCCGCTTCAGGTCCCAGTAACCACTCTCCTCTTTTGCTTGCCCCAGGACATACAGCACTAATCCCTATGGGTTCCCAAAGACCTCTTCGCAGCTTTGTAAACACTCCCTTTATTAAACTTTCTGTAGATTACCCGTTGATTTTTATCATTTCACTAAGACAATCCTACATGAGTAGACTAACTTAGCTATCCAGACTGGGGTTCTGTGGCTCTCCTATAAGGCTTCAGAGTGATGAAGGGCAAGGACAAAAAAAAAAATCTACCTAAGCAGCTCCTGATGGGGGTGGTCATGAAGACCTTGGCTCTCTCTAGGGATATCAATATGCTTATTTGGAAATGATAAAAAAAAAATGTAGGTCTTTTCTGACATGTTGGCCTTATACCTTAGCATATGATTTTTGGGGGAAACTTTTTATTGTAAATTGAGTGAAGGTTTATAGAGCAGATCATCATTTCACATTCAACAAATCATACACTGTTTCATCTCAGTGACCACAATCCCCTCCATGTAACAACGGGTATCCAACTTCCTCCCTGTGGTTCTTATTTTCACTCCACCCTCCTTCAAACCCTCTGAACTTTGTCCTTAGGTAAACGGTGCCCTTTTGATCTTGAATGGTTGGCCATTCCATGGTGAGCAGACCTTTCTAGTGTTCTTGTCCCTCCTGTATATCTAGCTACCACTTGGCTGAAAATTGGGACATGAGGTGAGTTTTGTTCTAGATCAGAAGAGTAGCCAAGGGCCATAGTCTCAGGTTCCTTCAGTCTCTTTATAGCCTTCAAGTCTGATCTTTTAAAAAATTTTCATTTTGTTTCACATTTTATTTCACTCTATCCAGGACCATCTAATATGATCCCTATCAAAGCAGTTGGTAGTAGGTAGCTGGTTCTTCTGGTCTCAGAGTCATGAAGATTGATGCTCACTTGTTCCATTAGCCCACTAGAATAGATGATTCCAAACATATTCAATTTTGATTATCCTTCTTTCTTCATAAATGGAGTGATCAATAGTTGCACTTTAGATGGATGCTCATTAGCGCTTAAGAATCCAGTTTCTACTCATCAAAATGAAATGGAATTCATAGCCAACAATATCCTAGGCATTATTGAGTAGAAATGGACTGGTATTGGCCATTTTAAATCTGTAAACCACATGGTTTACTACACCAGGAATGACAATATTGAAGAGGAATGGCATTGCATTAATCATCAAAAAGAACATTTCAAGATCTATCTTAAAGTACAACGTTGTCTTTCAGACATACACCTGCAAGGAAGACTAGTTAATATCACTATTATTCAAATTTACACATCAACCACTAAAGCCAGTGATGATGAAATGGAAGAATTTTACTAACTCTCCTCTTTTGCTTGCCCCAGGACATACACCACTTCAGTCTGAAATTGATCGAGTATTCAATCAAGATATATTGATAATTACTAGTGATTTGAATGCAACAGTTGGAAACAGAGAGGAAGGATCAGTAGCTAGAAAATATGGTCTTGGTGACAGAAACGAAGCTGAAGATTGTATGAGAGAATTTTTCAAGACCAATGAGTTTTTTAAACAATATGACTATACACATGGACCTCACCAGATGGAATACACAGAAATCAAATTGACTACATCTGTGGAAAGAGACAGTGGAAAAACTCCAGATCATCAGCCAAACCAGGGCAGGACAGACTGTGGAACAGACCATCAATTACTCATATGCAAGTTCATGGTGAAGATGAAGAAAATCAAAACAAGTCCACGAAAGCAAAAATATGACCTTGAACATATCCCACCTGAATTTAGCGATCATCTGAAGAACAGATTTGATGCATTAGACACTAAAGACTAAAAACCAGAAGAGTTGTGGGATGACATCAAGAACATCATATAGGAAGAAGGCAAATGGTCATTAATAAGACAAGAAAGAAGGAAAGAACAAAATGGATGTCAGAATAGACTGAAACTTGCTCTCCAGTGTAGAGATGCTAAAGCAAATGGAAGAAATGAGGAAGTGAAAGAGCTGAATAGAAAATTTCAGAGTGTAGTTTGAGAAGACAAAGTCAAATATTACAATAAAATGTGCAAAGACCTGGAGTTAGAAAACCAAAAGGGAGGAACACTCTCAGCATTTCTCAAGCTAAGGGAACTGAAGAAAAAATTCAAGCCTTCATTTGAAATATTGAAGGATTCTAAGGGCAAAATATTGAATGATGCAGAAAGAATAAAAAGTAATGGAAGGAATACACAGAGTCACTGTACCAAAAAGAAATGGTCGATGTTCAACCATTTCAAGAGGTAGCATATGATCAAGAGCCCATGATCCTGAAGGAAGGAATCCAAGGTACACTGAAGGCATTGGCTCTGGGAGTTGATGGAATACAGATTGAAATCTTTCAACAAACTGATGGTGCACTGGGGGTACTCACTCATCTATACCAATAAATTTGGAAGACAATTACCTGTCCAACTGACTGGACAAGATCCATATTTGAGCCCATTCCAAAGAGAGGCGACCCCATGGAATGTGGAAATCAACAAACAATATCATTAAAATTTATTGCACAAATAATTTTGCTAAAAATAATTCAAAAACAGCTGCAACCATACAGACAAGAGAACTTCCAGAGGTTCAAGCCATATTTCAAAGAGGATATGGAATGAGAGATAGCATTGCTGATGTCAGATGGATCTAGGCTAAGGAAGAGGATACCAGAAAGATGTTGACCTGTGTTTTATTGACTATGCAAAAGCTCTCGATTGTGTGGATGATGACAAGCTATGGACAACATTGCAGAGAGTGAGTATTCTGGAACACTTAAGTGTGTTCTTGAGGAACCTGTACATCAGAGACCACAACAAGGCAGTTGTTTGGACAGAACAAAAGAACACCAAATGGTTTATAATTAGGAAAAGTGTGCACCAGGATTGTATTCTTTTACCATAGTTATTCAACCTGTATGCTAAGCAAATAATCTGAGAATCTGGATTATGTGAAGAAAAAAGCATGGCATCAGGATTGGAAGAAGATTTATTAACAAACTGCAATGTGCAGATGATGCAACTCAAAATACTTGCTGATGAAGACCAAAGACCACAGTCTTCAGTATGGGTTGCATCTCAATGTAAAAAACACAAAAATCCTCATCATCGGACCAATAAACAACATCCATATAAATGGAGAACAGATTGAAGTTGTCAAAGACTTCATTTTGCTCACTTCATTTTGCTTAACCATCAACAGTCACGGAAGCAGCAGTCAAGAAATCAAATGACATACTGCATTAGGCAAATCTGCTACACAAGACCTCTTTAAAGTGTTGAACAGCAAAGATGTCAGTTTGAGAACTAAGATGCACCAGACCAAGCCACGGTATTTTCAATAACCTCATATGCATGTGAAGGTTGGACAGTGAATACGGAAGACTATAGAAGAACGGATGCATTTGAGTTATGGTGTTAAAAGAGAATGTTAAAAGTACCATGGACTTCCAAAAGGACAAACTAATCTGTGTTGGAAGAAATACAGCCAGAGTGCTCCTTGGACTCCAGGATGGCCACACTTTGTCTCTCATACTACGAACATATTTGGAGGGACCAGTCCTTGGAAAAGGCTGTTATGTAAGAGAAAGGCTATGTGCTGGTGGCCAGGTGCTGAAGTTAGCTTCTATACATTGTTGTTGTTTTAACTTTCACACACTCCTGGTTAGAAAAAGAATTGTACTATAGGATAAAGAAACCTTCATAGAAAAACTCCTGTTAAACAATGCTTCATAACTTTTGATTTAGTTACTAAGTGTCCCATCGTTATCCTTCAGCATTCCTATCCATAGATATTTCCTCTAGTGTTACACCACTCTCTAGAATTTGCCATCACTAATTACCCAGAGAAGACTTCTGGGAAGGAAAGAAGTAACCTCAGTGTTTGAGAAAAACCAGTCCCTTAGAACAGCCTCCTGTGGTATTTTGTTATTGTAAGGATAGTCACATGGTTCTAAGGCTGTGCTGTTTCAAGAGATTGCAGGGGGACAGGAGGAGTCTGCTTTCTGAGATTTATTGGCCTAAGATCAGCGAGTCAATAGAACTGAGTTAAATCCACCTTGGAAACAGACTAGACCAGCCGAGATGCTGGTCATGTATTCCCTGTCCAGAAGTATGGCTGCTATGTAAAGCCAGCAGCTTCTTTTATCTCAGACAGTCAGGATTGGTGAAAAGGGCAAAGGTGCAAAGTGGCAGCCAGAACAGGAGGTTCCTTCAGACCAGGACCCATTACGTGTGTGTGTGTGTGTGTGTGTGTGTGTGTGTGGTCTGTATTGACACTGTTCTTGCTGCTCAGAGGCACTCAGGGCCTCCTCAAAAAGCAGATGGGGAAAAAAATGTCCAGGACTTTACATAGTTTAAATTTTAGAAAATAATTACCTAAATCCATAACCATTTTCTTCACAATCATATGACTCTCCCCCGCCCCTTTTGTTTGTCTGTTGTCATTGTTCTGTTCAGTTTTCTCTTTGGGTAAAATACTTACTGCAGTTTGAAAGCCATTGACCAACAGAAAGTTCACAAATTTCACCACCTCCATGGCTGTGTCCATAGAATATGTAATAAAGACTTTCCCTAAAAGAGAGATTTTCACATTTAGTAGAAAGTAGTCAAATTATTCCATTCTAAACAACACTTCTGAAATGCGTACAATGTCTTTTGTTCTTCAAGAATAATAGAAGGAAACCTGGGAACAAGGTGGGGGGAGGTGGTGTAGTGGAAGAACTTATGGCTGCAGTAGTGGAAAACATGCGATTGGATTGCTGTCCTCAAAGGAGAGCCCCTTAAATCCAAAGAGGTAGAGGGTCTGTCGAGAGGAATGCAGACTGCTCCGGGTAATGGGAATAACGAGACATATGGGAGCAATGGCAGACAGGGACACAAGCTGGAGAGATCTGAAAACCACATGATGCTTTAACAAAAATCCACCACCCAGAACTTGTGGGTCCTTAAGATCAGGCCACCATCTGGTTTCCTAGAGACACTTGGCGCCATGCCCAAGGAATACTCTTACAGCCTGCCAAAGAAACCCAGAGCTAAGGGAGACCTCTGGGCCACCCAGCAGCATCCTCTTTTCATCTGGTGATACTCTCTGCTGTACTAGAACTTTTGCTTGACTGGAGCAAGTGAGCAGAGAGGGAGAAGGTGCTTCCCCTCCCCTTCATTCCTCCCATCCACTCTCTTGTTGGGAAAGACAGGAAGTTGGAGTCATCTAAAGTGCAGCTTGCAATGTTAGAACTTCAGTAACATAAGGGTGAGCTCCACTTTTGGCCAGTCCAACATTGCTGAACTTCCTCACTCAGACCTAAGTCAGCTTAGAGCAGCACACAGGAAGGAGCAGATAAGTCCATATGACTGAGAATCAATGTTTTGGATTTTTTTTTGCTAAAATCTTAGGATAGTATCTAGCTAGCAATTTGAAATGAAAGATGAATCATCTGTGTGTGTTAGGTTTTAGTTGAGAATAGATTGGTCAAATCTAAGGAAGCCCTGGGGCAGAGGGTGAAGAAGTAAGGAGGCTTGGAAAGAAAATAAGAATATATAACTCTTCAGCTCTGCTCAGGATCTCAAATAGGAGTGAGTACGTAATAGTGATCATGTTGTTGTTGTTGTTAAGTACCGTGGAGTCGGCTCCGACTCATAGTGACCCTGTACAGGGTTTCCGAGGCTGTAAATCTTTACGGGAGCAGAACGCCTCATCTTTCTCCCGCGGAACCGCTGGTAGTTTCGAACTGCTGACCTTGTGGTTCACAGCCCAATTCGTAACCACTACGCTACCAGAGCTCATAGCGACCCATTTAAACAGCCAGGTATTTGACGGTATTCACTGTAGGATAAGCACTGGACTGCTAACTGCAAGGTGAGCTGTTCAAACCCACCAACTGCTCTTGGAAATCCTATACAGGGTTGCCATGAGTAGGAACCAATTTGCTGCCACACAACAACATCTAATATTCAGCCAACTCCTATATAAGTAATTTTAGGATGGCTTTTATGGATTATAGCAAAATACATATGCTCTACAAACTGATAACAGGATTCTATCCCATGCATGTTCAGTTCTAGAGAAGTGCTCACAACTGAAACATACGATAGTGGTGATGGTGGTGTGCCATCGAGTCAATTCCAACTCATAGCAAACCCATATAGGGTTTCCAAGGCTGTAAATCTTTATGGGAGCAGAAAGGCTCATCTTTCTCCTGCAGAGTAGCTGGTGGATTTGAACTGCTGACTTTGTGGTTAGCAGTCAAACATGTAACCTAGTATACCAGGGCTCCTTATTAAAACCTATAGCATTTAAAAATGATTTTCAGGGGGGAAAAAATTGAACAAAGAGCAACAATAGATCATTATCATAGAAGTCTTTCAGAATTATAGATGACTAGCACACAGATCTCCCAACAGCTAAGGGCTTCATCTCAAGAGGCATACAGATCCAGCCTCTTAGAAAAGGCTTAATAGAATTCTCTGAGCTTCTCTAGCAAGTACAGCAGAATATAACAACTTCACAAGTAGTGGCTGCTTTCTTAAGGTTTCTGGAACTTAGTGTCCTGACTGACCTTAAAATGAGAACATTTGAGTGATTTTTCAACATTTCTAGTTCTGGCTGCAAAATGTGGAAAAAGAATCATCACCTGACACTTAGTTGGATGTTTCTTTTAAGAAAAGGCTTGGTTTACATTTGGTTGTGAAGCAGTATGGAGAATGTAAGACCATTTTTTTCCAAACAAGATGAGGAAATGACCTCGTTTTTGGTGGCTGCTACTAATTTATGGTGAGACTCTAGGTTCCTGGCTGATACCACAATCAGTTTATCCAGGGACAAGGCTACTCGAGCATTGTTTAGAGAGGGAAAAAATGATGGGATTGTTTGTTGTTGGAGTGTGTGTCTAAGAAAGTCTAGTGGTAAGTAAGCACAATGTATTACTGGTAGTTTCAGAATCACTAAACACATTTATACAGAAGGCTGATGACATTTTTAGTAAAAACCAAAAGTTAGAAAGTAAATTTTATTTCACTCTCTATATGAGAAATATCTGAAATTATGGATGAATAATACTCAGATAAACTCAAATTGTAAGACCTGACAAGCAGAAGGAGAAAACAACACTGCATACAACTCACTCAATTCTTCTGGCAAATTGCTTGTTTTCAGAGTTCCTCTAGCTGGAGGATGGCTAGGGGGTCTGGGGATAGCAGCTGGGGATGGAGCCTGGGGACCCTGTGGTCTCAAATCTGCAGGACAATCCAAGGACTCCAGAACTCCAGCTCTATTAGGTGTTTGGTTATACAGCTGGTCCCTGGAAAGAAAGACGTTTACAGTCAATTTTCATTTTTCACAAAAACAAACCTTGAAGGACAGAAATCCTTTTGAGAAAGCTTAAAAGTAAACTATCGTCTTGGTTTCCACTTTGTATCTGAGAAAGAAGGGACAAGTGGAGTTCCATGGAGTTTCAGTCAGGGAGCAGTTGAGCTGGCTGCCAATATACAAGAGGCTGTGCTAGGGTTCAAAAGAGAGGAACAGGATTTAATGTCTCTATTCAAGGACTGTCTAATTGGGAAAATAAGTCTTATACAGAACAATGCAGTGTATAGGCACACCTTGGAGATACTGATGGTTTGCTTCCAGATCAACACAGTAGAGTGAATTTTACAGTAAGTCACATGAAGTTTTTGGTTTCCCAGTGCTTACACTATAATGTAGTCTGGAATGCTGGTGTGGCACTGTGGGCTAATGCATCAGACTGCAAAGTCATGTGAACTACAATGTCGGTGGCTCAAGCTCACCAGCTGCTCCTTGGAAACTCCATACAGAGTTGCTATGGGTCATTCTCACAATATTTCAAACTCATAATGCTACTGTATGCTTGATAGACTACAGTACTTATTGTTATTGTTAAGTGCTGTAGAGTTGTTTCCAACTCACAGTGACGCTACATAGAGTTTCCAAGGACTGGTGGTGGGTTCAAACCGCCAACCTTGCAACTGTATCCAATGCTTATCTTACAGCACCACACCAGAACTCCAGTTTGTTGTTGTTGTTAAGTGTCACCGAGTCAGTTCTGACTCACAGCGACCTTGTACAGGGCTTCCAAGGAGCTGCTGGTGGGTTTGAATGGCCAGTCTTGTGGCCTACAGCACCACACCAGAACCCCAGACAATAGTTGTTGTTGTTAAGTGCCATTGAGTCAGTTCCAACTCATAGGTGACCCTGTATTGGTTCCTGAGGCATTTTAGATATTTGCAGGAGAAGAAAACCTCATTTTTATATCAAACGGTAAAAAGGCCATGAAATTAAAAATTATGCTATTAATATATGAATGAAAACATTCATTCATGTATTTCAAGACACTTTGTTACATAGCATCTTTATTATTATTTTAGTTGTCAGGATCTCAGGAACCTGCTGCTGAGATGGCCAATCAGATGCACTTGTGTGAGATTTGGAAGGCAGAAAGGAGGTGGAGGTCATGCTTCTGCCTCTTGTGTGGTTTCCTTTGGTAAGCAAAGTCATGAGGTGCTGAGTTTTCCTCAGGAAGCATCCCAGTGTCCTGTTACCAGCTTTGTGAGTGTTAAGGTCAGGGCACAGGACATTCATTGTTTGCTAGTACCAATCTAGCAGGTTCACAAAGGCTCTGGACCTAGGAGGTGTAGTAGTGGCAGATTCATGTTTCTGGATTGCCCTATAGCATTGTAGCCTGGGGCCAAGAGTGTCAGAGGTGGCTTTCTGGTCCTCCCCCTTTCTGATGGGCAGAGGAGGCTTCTTCTTTGGTTGTCCCATATCCCTGTGGGATCATCCCTAGAAGTTCAGCCCAAAGCTTGTCCCTCCAACCACCAACTTTGTAAGCAGCCAATTCCGTATCTTATATTCCTTTCTGCTTAAAACAGCTATAGTGGTTCTTGTTTTCTATAACTCAGTCCTAACTAATGTTGTTGTTGTTGTTAAGTGCCGTAGAGTCGGTTCCGACCCATAGCGACCCTGTACAGGGTTTCCAAGGGTGTAAATCTTTACGGGAGTAGAAAGCCTCATCTTTCTCCCGCAGAGCAGCTGGTCATTTCGAACCGCTGACCTTAAGGAACCGCTGCCCTTAAGGTTGGCGGCCCGATTCGTAACCACTACGCTACCAGAGCTCCCAGTCCTAACTAATAGAGGGACTAAACCTATATCTGTAGTGAATGTGTGATTGAGATTGTTTCATATTATAAATTTTAAAATATATTTTAACTGCAAAATCTATGCATAGATGCCCATGTTTTATAGATTGTTGCTCATGCTTTCTTACTTTTCTCAAAGAATAATTATAAGTTTTAAACTCCTTACATAGTAAGATTTACAACAAAATGATATAGAATCTTAACTATATTTCACTGTTTAATGTGAATCGTTTAGGAGGTTGTTTTATTTTACATGATTATTAATACTGAGGAGGGAATCCTGAAAAATATGCTTTACCCTACAGGGGGTCCAGTTCCAGTTCCTTTTCACATTAAATCCCTTTAGATCCAAAGTTTCTTAGTTATTATAAAAGATGACTCCTCATTTAATAAAGAAATGGTAAGACTATGTTATTTTAAAACTTCCATATAAAAACATTATAGGTATTAATAATAAACTAAACTTTCTGCACTTTCAAATAATCAGTAAGAGGAGAATTATCTTTCACCACCCAAACTTATTTTTTCATTTTTCTAAAATGATGACATAAATCCAAGGAAAACCTAGTAGGACTAAACTGATGTCACAAAATCAATTAATCTATATTATCTTTGCAACTCTTCTATAAATCTAAAATTATTTTAAAATAAAAGTTTATATTATAAGAAATTACTAGTGCTACCAAAACTCAATATTAAATTAATTTCATAAAGATGCTTAAATTTTGTTTGCTTTCTTGGGATTTTAAATACTTTCTCTAGAAGAGTATTTAACCATTTCATTTAATTCCATTTTAAAGGACATACAAATTTTGTTTTTTAAGAATTAAAAGGTCTGTATTTTAAGGATACTTGTGTTCTTTTGAGTAGAGGGAAAAGGAGGTGTGTACTTTACCTACAAATGTTAATAAAGTGAACTTTTGTTCTTCAGCAAATTTGTTTACTAATTATTAATTTCTGTATTTCTAAAAGATCGCCATAGCTACAACATAGCTTTAATTCGAGTGGGAAAACACTAGTTTCACATTTCAGCTTTTTTCATAAAAGCCAAAATCCTTGTCTGATCTCTTTTGGTTAGCTAAAACAAGTACTAATGTAGGCCTTTTGTAAACATGAAATAGCATAAAATGAACTTTCATAAAGAAAACCTATATTTTCCTTCCAGTATGTCATAAATTAGGAAGACCCTTTTACATAAATTTTTCCTGTATACTTTAGATCCATAAACTATGAAGAAAAGAAAAATCTGAAGATGAATAAAAGAAAACAATAGGAGAAAGATACTAAAGAGTTAGAAAATTGAAGTCATGAAGAGTCAAGAGGACTGCTTTCCTGGAAGAAGACAGCCTGCAGGGTGACTCAATGGTGTTTAACATGTTTGTTTTTATTACAAAAGAAAAGAACAGGTTACATTATATTTTCTTTGGGAAGTCACTGAATTATAAAAAACTTAAGTAAGAAATGAGTATAAACAGCGACAGAAACTAGGGATATAAAGAACTCCTCCTGGTAAAAATAAAAATCAATTTCATGGGCTAAAAGGTCAAGCAATCTGAAAGTCAAAGAAGGAGGTGTAACGTGAAAGCATCTTAAGAGTCCTCCCTTCATGAGAATTTTGCCTAGTCACTAGTGGCTTTAAAGATCTTGCTAGAGATTCTTGTTAACCAGCCTCCATTTCCTCCTGACCTGAAAACTCTACATTAGGAGGTCCACTGTGCAACTTGTTCCACTAGCTTGGAAAGCAACCCTACATAGAGTTCTGATATATATTAGTTGTACTAATATAGTTCTTTTCCATGTTAAAGTATCTGAAAATATCTGAAAGTTGACTTGGCCATACTTACTGATATCTTGGGGGACCCGGGGAGGAGTAGTCTCTTTGTGCTGGCCTCTCTTCTTGGTCCCAAGGACTGGGGTAATTCAAGATGACCTTCTGCACAGGGTGAAGGCCTCTCATGCTTCCTCTAGCTAGGGGCTGTCCAGGTAGAGCTGGCTGGACCACTTGCTGGTAGGCTGTTCGAGGGTAGTTGTGGCCATCTGCAGGTATGATAACAAAGAAAACAGAGAAGATCACCCTTAGCTGGTTTTGTGTGAAGAGGAGGTAAGTTCAATGCAAATTTTTGTCTTGATATCAATTGAAGATTCCAGATCTCCATGATGTTTGCTATACTTCTGTAATGTTGTTGTTGTTGTTGTTCAGTGCTGGTAACTTGGTTCTGACTCATAACAACGCTGTACAGGGTTTCTGAGGAGCGGTTGGTGAGTTTGAACTGCCAACCATTTGGTTCAAACTGACCTTGCAGTCCAGTGCTCATCCTACAGCGCCACACCAGGACTACTTCTAGTGAGTTTTTATATAATTTCTTGTAGCCTTGAGTTACAGAAACTTGGATAATTAGGGTAGGAATGGTGGTATGAGAGTTTTCCTGCTTAGATTATCCTAAGTATTTTATTAAAATAGGGTACTGTGAGAAATTATACTTAGAGCTTTTCAGTTAGGACACAAACTCATAATTTCACTGGAAAATCAAGGAACTAGTCTGTATTACTGGAGTCCTGGTGTGGCGCTGTGGGTTAATGCGCCAGACTGCAAATCCATTTGAACTGCAAGGTCGGCGGTTCAAGCTCACCAGCTGCTCCTTTGAAACCCTATCCAGGGTTGCTATGGGTCAGAATTGACTGCACTTCACAACAACAACAACAATCTGTACTACTAATTACTTGATTATCCAATTCCAGTTGCTGCCTCGTTGGCTCTGACTCATGACTACCCAAGCGGGTCAGAGCAGAACTACTCCACAGGGTTTTCAATGGCTGACTTTTTCAGAAGCTTGTCAGGTGTTTCTTCCGAGGCACCTCTGGATAGAGTCTAGCCACTAACATTTCAGTTAGCATCTGAGAACACTACTTGTTTGCATCACCCAGGGACTACATTCACTTGGCAGTTTTCATTAAATTGATTCACTTTTTTTTTTTTCTTAAATAAGAACACATGAAATTTTGAGTTTGTATTCTAACTGAAAAGCTCAACGTATAATTCTCACCATCCCCTATTTCAGTAGGATACTTAGGATAGTCTAAGCAAAAAGACTCTGAAACCACCTTTTCTACCCTAATTATCCAAGTTTCTAAAACTCAAGACACTGATGAGCTACAAATAAATTCAATTTCTCATTTCCTCCCCCAAGTGAACAACACACACACACAATCACATGTATCAGGGGATGCCAAAAAAGTTCATGGAAAGTTCCATTATCTTTTAATTCTATTCTTCCATGAATTTTTTAAGGAGCTCTGGTAGCATAGTGGTTACAAATTGGGCTGCTAATCTCAAGGTTGGCAGTTCAAAACTACCAGCTGTTCTGTGGGAGAAAGATGAGGCGTTCTGCTCCCGTAAAGATTTACAGCCTCGGAAACCCTATGCAGGGTCACTATGAGTTGGAACTGACTCCACGTTACTTAACAACAACAATGAACTTTTTAAAGCCACTCCCTTCCAGGAAGAAGTTAAATAAATTAACATGTGGCATATGCCTCTTGCAGTAAGCCGACTATGCTTTAGAGCAAAAAATCTGAAAGATTTTTGCCTGTGAACAACTCCAGCCAGGCAGAGCTTAATTCCATCTTGTGCCCAGGTTTAAGTGTTCAGATGCCAATTTGTCTTGACTACATACACCTCTGCAGGTCATGCTGGCAGAATTAGAAACAGAATACATGTGAAAGTGGCTTTTGGACCACTTCTCCGAGCCAGCACAAGAAAAACAGAGACTCCCTAAACAAGCTTTCCTTGGCATACCCCTTATTGGTTGTGACCTCATACTCTCATTGCCTCAGAGAAACACTGTAAGCTTTCCTCTCTGCAACAGTCCCCTCCCGGCTTCCATAGGCCCAGTGTGCATAGGTGACACATTGCTGCCCTCAGTTGTGCTTGTGAGAGGAGATGCTTTTGTTCTCTGTGCCCTATTTAAGATCACCACATGGAGGTAGAACTTTGGAAATTAATCATGGCACCCTATTGATATCTCTCATCCAGGTGATCTATGTTTATTTTGTCTGGTTTTTACTCCTGTTTAGGACTTTATAAGGAGTCTATAATATTTTTTTTTAATGTTTTATTGTGAATTATGTGATAGTTTACATGGGAGAACATTAATTTTACATTCATTTTATCGTATATTGTCTCATTGCCATGGTTACAATCCCTTCCATGCATCATCAACCAACCAAAGTGTATACCCTGCAAGCCTGCCCCCCACACCTCCCGAGTCTTCAGCACACAGTCCCTCTCCCTCTTTAGATCTAAAGTCCCCAGCTGCTCCATCTCTCCACGTCATCATCTCTGCCTCCATCTCAGGCATCGCTGCTTCTCTGGGTAGGGTCCCGCTCTCCGCTCTTCTCTGTTGATGGTCCTAGGACCTCTTCAAGGAGTCTATAATATTTATATCTGTGAAGATGGGGTCTCTTTATTTGCCTAGAACACCTAATTCCAATGAACTACTTATAATACCCACCAACTTTCTTGGTTCTCTCCTGCTAAAGTCTATGTAAATGTGAGGCCAGGTTATTAGAAGGCGGCAGGGATTACTTAGAGAATGTGTAATCTGGGATATACTTGGTCACAGCCAGGCCCAGGAGCCTGTTGTTAAGTACTATCAAATCGGTTCTGACTCATAGCGATCCTGTATAGGGTTCCCAAGAACTGCTGGTAGGTTTGTACCGCCGGCGGTTAGCAGTCCAGTGCTTATCCTACAGCACCACACCAGGACTGCTGGACCCAGAAGCAACAGGTTCTAAAGTGAAGGACCGCCTGCCTGGCCAGGTGAGACGGGAACTGAAGGTGAAGAATATGCAGGGGATCCAGGGGAATCCAGTAAGAGTGAGAGGGGGAGACCTAGAGGTAGCTACCTATGCCTGAAGGAGCTACCTTGCTGGGAAATCTGAGAGATGAGGGTGGGGGTTGCTCTTCAGGGTGGGCTCAGTTTACAAGGGGATTGAAAGAGCCAAGAAAGTAACCACTCCTTCTCCAAAGTGAACTATGAGTGCTTCCTGGTGATTCAAGCCATTCCACCTCTGCCCAGGTAAGAAGTACAGGATCCAGGCAGCTTGGATAGTTAGGGCAAAAAAAGAGACATCATCAAAGTTTTTTTATCTTTTTTTCCCCAAAAAATATTGGTCTTAATTTTTTTTTTCTGATTATAAAAATAGTAATCACGTTTGCCTGCCCTGTAAATAGAATACTATAGGAATGTAGTGAAACTAGCAAGCAAGCAACAAGTAACGTAGGTTGGAACCAGAATGGGAAGAGTGAATATACTGGTTAAGAACTGTATTCTTGTTTGGTGAACAATCAGGAGCCAGTGAAGTTTCCAGGGGAAGAAGGAGAGTGAATGATGGCCTCAGGTACAAAACAGAAGACAATTATGTTCATGTTTACCAATGTGGAGCCTCCACATACCCATTGTTGAGACTCAGGACCCTTCCCTGGGTGGTCTTGCAAATGTGCCCATCCCGTCTGTCAAGGCTGGTCACAATCCCTGGGTTTAATCTGATGTCTACTTTAACCTCTAGCACCTGCCAGGTCTTTCCTGTCATCTTCCCCTAATAAAAGTCACAGGCCCCCCTCCAACCCAGGTTTCTTCTGGCGCTGGCTCAGGACCTTGCCCTGCTCTTACTTAGGCCTGGTCAGGATGGGCATTATGGGTATAAGGAAGAGGAAGAGAAAGTTCCAACACCTGGCTGATGACGGAGTACAGTTCCTAGGCACCTTGGGAAACAGGCACTATGACAAAATATAACAAACAGATTTTTCTTTTACAATCTTAGGCAGAGCTCCAGGGGGTCCAGATTGCTCATGGGAATTCCAGGGCAACAGAACAGGTCACTACTGCTGCCGTTAGGTCACCAGGCAGAGGCCAGCTCTGTTTTTACATGATCTGTGTGTAAACATAACTCTTACAAATCTCTAGATACAATGCTCCGGAGATTTCTCACTATACTTCAAATCTACCCTGCAGGATTGCATGATCAGGCCTCCCTGCCACTTAAAAAAAAAAAAAATTTGATAAAGATATACACAGTCTTACACCATTTCAACAGTTTCTACATGTTCATCTCAGATACTGACTACATTCTTCAAGTTGTGCAAACGTAACATGTCCAACTACCATTGACTTAAACTCATTGCCCAAGATTCTCACCTAACTTTTTTAGTTGCTGTTGTCTATTTGATCTCTCTCTCTCACATACACACTCAAAATTCTTTAAAAGCATACAATGTTCAAGGCAGGCATACTATACTTACTAAGATAAAGTATTTTTTTCAGTTCAACGACTACTTCATGGAATAGTCTTGGTCCCCTGACCTCCTTGTACACTCTCACTAGCTCACCATACCCAGTGACCCTGACCCTCAGCATTGCTAGAAACTTAGTATGATCCTTCCAGCCATAGTCTTTATAACACCCACCAAATGACTGGGTGGTTGTTATTGTCATTAAGTGCCATCAAGGCGGTTCTGACTCATTTTGATCCAGTATAGGGTTTCTGAGAAGCAGTTGGTGAGTTTGAATCACCAACTAGCAGTCCAGTGCTAATCCTATAATGCTACACCAAGACACCAATGACTGGGTGTTACTGTTGGTTAAGTGCTGTGGAGTTGATTCCAACCCATAGCGACCCTGTATAGAGTTTCTGAGGAGGAGCTGGTGAGCTTGAACCACTGACCTTGCGGTTCAAACCAACTTTGCAGTCCAGCACATTCACCTACAATGCCACATCAGGACTCCAATGACAGGTGGGACTATGCAAATGTAAGGTGCATGCAGCCCATCAACGGAACTAAATAGCTTGTTAATAACATAAATACGGTACATGGCACCTTTGTGGGGTAAGATCATGCAAATAAGGTGTTGCTGTTGTTAGGGGCTGTCCAGTTGGTTCTGACCTATAGCAACCCGATGTACAACGGAACCATACATCGGCTGGTCCTGAGCCATCCTCCCAATTGCTACTAAACTTGAACCCATTGCGATTGTCAC